TGCTGGTGACACAATGGGCGCACCCCGTGCCAGGCACTGATCGAGAGCCAACCATCTCACAGTCCCAGTCATCACAGAAGAAATATTTACACCCCAATTTTCAGATGTATCTTGGAGGCAGGGGCGAAGCAATTTGTGCCACCCCATGTCTCTGGGAGCTCATATTACCAACCACATAGGTGGGGCTTGGCACCTGGGGTTCTGGAATAGTGATCCCCATTGGGGTTCCTTAGGGCAGGCAGGGTACCTGTTAGGCAGGAAGATGGGGAGGAAGCAGGCGAGAGGACTGGCGACTGAGCTGAGGGTGGCAGACAGGTGGTAGGTGACAGGTCCATAAGGCAAGCAGGAGTAGGTCTGCACCGAGGGCAGAACACCATTGGTGAGTGCGTTGACAAAGGCCACCACAGAGTAGATGAAGGCCAGCTGGGCTGGGCCGAGGGGGGCCACGCTGACCTCCAGTGGCCCCTTGCTTGGGCTGTTTGTAGTGGTACTCAGTGAACCCGTGTCCTCCGTGTCTCGTGGCCTGATGGAGTGCAGGGTGACCTGGGAGTGGAGGAGGTCCTCCACTGAGCCTTGCGGGCCCCAGGGTTGCCTCTGCAGGAGGAAGAAGGCTGTGAGACAGCAGCCCATCAGGAAAGACAGCAGCAGGAAGAAGAGCAGCGGTGAGAAACGTGCTGCCAGGTAGTGGCTCTCCAGGTGCCAGGTGAGGGGCGACATGGAAGGAGTGCTGGTTCCCTGGGGAGAGACAGAGCAGCAGTCAGCCCATTGGCAGGGGAGGCCAGGATGCAGGTGACATCGCAGCACGATGACTGATGGGGACACATCACAGGGTGTCTGAAACAATTGCTCCATCACAGATTGCAAGACAAAAATCTGGGTTTGAGGATTTCAGGGAAGTTGCAAACTTGGATTCTCGTTTCCCTGGTCTGTGTGATCTCGTTTGTTCTGGGGTTCAGAACACACCCCCATATCTGGCTGTGAAAGACCAGATTATATTACCCCAAGACAGACTCCTTTAGTGTTTGTTACTATGAACTGGTTGATTTGGGACCCGGAGGGTTGCAGCCCTCAGAGGTGCTGCTGGGGAGGGATGTGGAGAATTTTAGAGGTGGGATCTGCAGCCTGTATCACCTGCCAGATCTGCACTTACGACAGGCCATCGCCTCCTCTCCCCTCTCAGAATGTTTCCCCACCCTGAGGAACCTCAAGTCTCTGTCCTGTTCTGTTGCTCAAGACACTTTCTAAATTCCCGTCACCTGGCCTGGCCCGTTTTTGAGTCTCAAGCTTTTGTGAAACGCCAGTATGCACACGCTTAAAACAGTCTTTCTGCTGCCTGCTTACCTCATGCCACCTTAATTTGTAGCCTTTGGGCTGTCGAGATGGCTCAGTGGGTAAATATGCTTGCTGGGCAAGCCTGATGACCTGAGTTCCATGTCTGGAACCCAAGTAAAGGTGGGAGGAGAGAACTGACTCCACAAAGCTGTCCTCTGACCTCTACATACATGCATTATACACACAATAATAATAAATAAAAATTAATTACAATTTTTTTCACCTTGCCAAAGAACAGAAGTAGAGAAAGCAAATCTTCCCTTCCCTACACTCTAAGCATGGTGCCTAAATGGCTCTGGACCACAATAGGTACCTGGGTGATGTGGAACTCCCCCATGATCACAGGGCTTGAGGAGGTGCCTGGTGTCTCCGTGACATTGACACAGGTGGTGATACCTGAGCCTTGGGCAAGAGCCACCAGTGCAGGCAGGAGGCCGCTGAGCCCCTCACCAATGAAGAAGGTGGTAAGGTAGTAGGTGGGTAGCTGGCTCATGAATGGCAAGAAGGTGACAGAGGAGGTGCAGTCCACCAGGGCCAGGAAGAAGGTGAGGACAATGAAGGCCACACTGTGGCGCCTGCCCTGCACCCAGGAGGTCGTGTTCCATAGGAAGGCAAAGAGGATACAGGCAATGGTGCCCACGCTCAAGACAGCGAAGATCACGGGCACCTCAGACAGGCAGCCAGGCTGGAATCGATGCAGCAGGGTGACTAGGAGGGGGCCGATGTTGGCCAGCTGGATGACCACGGTGAGGTAGGAAGGCAGGTACCAGCCCTCGGGCAGCTCAGTCACCAGTAGGGGCAGCTCCACCCAGAGCCCGTTGATGGCTACCCAAGAGCCCATGCCAAAGACGCAGACCAGCAGGTGTGTCAGGAAGGCCATGGTGGGCAGCCTGGGCCAGCGGTTGTTCCCCAGGTCAGGCTGCAGAGGGGCTGGTGGAGAAGGACACGGTGAGATAGTTCAAATTCATCATCAACAAGCTGGCTTTTTTGTGTTTTTGAGACAGTGTCTCCCTCTAGCCACAGCTAGCCTGGAACTCAATTTCAAACTCACTATGTAGACCAGGCTGACCTTGATCTCACAGAGATCAGCCTGGCTCTGCCTCCTCAGTGCTGGGATTAAAAGTGTGTGCCACCACATCTGGCTAAGAAGCTGGCTTTTTATCAGCAGAAAACACAGAGAAATTCCTTCATAGATAACCTTCAGTTGGGTAAGGTTTTCTTTAGCAGGCTTGGAAATCCAGGTACCACAAAGAAAAGCTTGATGTATTGAGTTTCAGAAACATTAAAACACACAAAAGCAAACAGGCAGACGAAACACCAATAGTAAGGTCAAAAGACAAGAACAGCCCGAGGTAGGTAAGTACAAAATAGTCTAAAAAGCTTATTTCTTTAACAAAGAAAGAGGT